GCTGGCTAGCAACAGGCTATGCTGCGCCTCAGCCAATCAGGGCGCAGCCTAGACTGTTGCTGGCCTTCCAGTCGTAAGTGGAAGATTTTATGAGTCCTCAACACCCCTTCCCCTCGGCTTAGAGCGCATGCCCCTGATTGGAGCATGCGTAGTCCTCTAGGTAGGCGGGGCGGTACCGGACCCGCCCAGATCTTCGCAGTTCACCTGCAGTCGTCGGAGGGGTAAGACCTGCTTGTGGTAGCTCCTCCCCACAGGGATTGGAGCTCCAAGCGACGCCATCTTTGCACGGCCCAGAAGGCGGGCTGAACGAACCAGGTAGGCCGGGCTGAGGGGGCGCGGCCACAGGGGGAATTTCACGTTGCCGGGAGGCGGCGACTGGCAAAGGAGTGTAGCTTGGTGGGAAAACCGTTTCAGGTTGAGGTTGCTGAGGCGCTTGCCAACAGGGGGCGCCTTGGTAGGTAGGGCCTGAACTGGGGAAGGCCCTTTTGAACTGCGCCTTGTCGGCTTGAGGAGGCTCAACTGGAGCAAACAACTCTTGAGTCAGAGGGTAGGAGAGGCCTGCCTGGGGAAAGACCTGGAATGTTGGGACCGGCTGGCAGGCAGCTGTGTTGTCGAGCCCTGGATCCCTCGGGCCGCCGGTCACTGCAGGGAGGCGCCTCCTTAGTTGATCCATGTGGCGCCTCCACTCGGATCCATCGGCCAGTCCGACCCTGTAGGAACAGGGGCCGATTATGGATACTACAACAGCAGCCACACACCTCGGATCCCCTGAAAATGACCGGGCCCAAACCAAGTCCCCCACACGGAAGGATCGGGGAGGGGTAACCCCCAGGTTGCACGGCTGATCCCCTGAATAGAACAGGTGAAATCTATCCAGGGGGGTCCACAGGAGCCGGCCCATCAAGAGCTCTGCGGGGCTTTTGTTGGTGGTTGGGCAGGGGGTGGAGTGTTGGCTTAGCAGGTAAGCTGCAACCCTTGTCTGCCAGTCACCCCGGTCCATGCGGCCCAGTGCCTCCTTGGCTGAGTGGACCGCCCGTTCCACCCGGCCATTGCAGGCCGGGTGGTATGGGGCTGTGGGCACGTGCCGGATTCCCTGACAGGCCAGGAATTCCTGAAATGTGGTAGAAGTAAATTGGGGCTCGTTGTCAGAAACGATTACATCCGGCAACCCGTGGGTTGCGAACAAGCGGCGAAGGGCCCTGACCGTACTCTCAGCTGAGGTGGAGGTCATGAGGACCAGTTCCACCCAGCGAGTGTAGGCATCTACCACAATCAGGAATGTCTGGCCATGGAAGGGGCCGGCAAAATCTATGTGGAGGCGGGACCACGGGCCTCTCGGAGCCTCCCACTCTCGAGAAGGCCTGGCTGGGGGGTTAGGCCAGGAGAGCTGGCAGGTAATGCAGCGGCCAACGTAGGCTGTGATCTCTGAGTCCAGCAAAGGCCACCAGACATAGCTGCGGGCTAACGCCTTCATCCGCGCTATGCCGGGGTGGTCTTTTTTCGGTTTAAAATATTTTATTCATTTTCATTTTCATTTTC